TCTAGTGCCGCAGTTATGCCTCCACCATCATCCACAGACCCTTATGCAGCTCCTGCCACAATCTCCACTTTGGCGTTGAAGCCGGTGCCCATGCCTACTGGTCCACTTTCTACGCTGCGAGTCTCCCAGACATTGGTGAGCCTCAACAACTGGATGCAAATAGCCACTGTAAAGCTATTTGACCTATCCAATACTGTTGCAGCACAGTAGTCTTCATTTCAGGCACCTCAGATTCCCCCGACAGTTGAGGAGACATTGAAGAAGCTCCTAGAGAACCAGAACACCATCACAGCTACCTTGGTACAACACGGGTTAGTGATCGAAGATCTAGGCAAAGAAGTAAAGAAGATGAGAAAGTCCCAGGAAAGTAAGAAGCCAATGGACAAGCTCCGAAGGTAGGTGACCAAGCTTGCTGAAGCCGGAGATATCCCTTTTGACATGTTGATTGACCCACACCCTTCAGACCCAGTTCCTGCAGCACCATCAGCACCGGTGGCTCCAGCTGGCCAGTCTGAGGAGTCAGACTCTAATGTCGACACTGCCGAGGCAGTGCATCAAATGTTCACTAACCCAGTCATACCCAGAGCTGAGGATGATAAGATCCAGTTATATAAGACTGAGGGCGGTGACATTGTTGGGGACACATAGATGTCTAAGAAGCCATAGGGAGTTTTCTTTACTCTTTCCCCTCTTTTACTCTTATTTTGTTAAATAGTGGGGACAATGCTTATTTTTTATTCAGGGGTGGAGTTTATTTTGAAGATATTTGGTACATTCTGAGACAATTGGCCTGTAATAACTTGATATTACTTTTTTCTATTTTTTATTCTGTATATATTCTCTCATTTTTCTCTAATTATGTATATTTAGTAGTTTTTGTTTAATTAGTTTCTTTATTTTTAGTTCCATTATTAGTTCGTAGTTTGAGTTAGTAGTTTCTTTGTTTGTTTTAGTAGCTTCTTTTTATGTTTTAATAGACAATAAGCCTTTGGTTTTATTAATGCCATGGTTCTTTCCAAATGTAGTTGTTGTGTGAACCGGGTGACTCGTCCCAACGATGGATGGCGTGACAGCCTTCTTAAGGGAATGAGTTTGTTTTTGGTGTTTAGGTAATAATAGTAGTAGTAATGAATAAAAAGATCTAATTAAGTCATGCTCGAAGAGTAAAAAATGCTTCATTTGGTACCAACACACTTCACTACGTGCTTATGGTTAGAAATAAGGTTTTTGAAATAAATAGCTCTAGTTAGTGACTTTGTGACTCTTGTGTTGACTTTGGCAACCATCGAGTGGTTTAATTGAACCATAGTGATTTTCAATCTTGAATGTGGTCGTTGTGGGCCCTCGACTCTATCCTTTTTAACAATCCAATTGTGTGAGGGGTGAGATACTTTGTTGCTAGTCCAAGTACCCATGCGAAAGGTCTAGAACTTGCCTCAAATGTGTTTCAAGGCGAAATCCTAAGTTTTGCTTGGCTTGAGAAGTGATTGTAGGCTTTCCTTGGCCCGTTTGAATTTTTTATTGCCTACCAATATTGTTATCCCTAGTCAACCCATTTGAGCCTCGAGCCTTTCTCATTTGACAACTATGTTACAAGCATGTACCAATTTTGCCGTGACCCTCTCTTGGCACTCGAGCTTTCCTTAATACTCTTGTGAAACAAATGGCTAAAAATGTAAGTTTGGGGGAGAGACGAGGAAATTGAAAAAGGTATCAAGGCACAAAAAGAGAAAAGAAATGATGATAAGGAAAGGCAAGAAAAGAAAAGAACAAAAAGAAAAATGCAAAAAAGTGAATAAGTGGAAGAGTTGAAGGGATTCAAAGAGAGGTAATGATCACAAGCATGAAGAAATCAAAGAGGGAGAAAATGAATGTAATGAGCAAGAAAGAGTGATGTTAAGTTTTTTTAGTTCCCCAAGGAATAGAAAGTGCCTCAAAGAATTAACAAAGTGTGAGCCGAGAATACAAAAAATGGAGTGCTTAAGGAAAGGTGTAACCACTCAACCATGTTGTATCCAACCCTAATCCAAAAGCCCTCATTACATCCCGAAAGAATCCCTATTTGATCTTGAGCCGAGTGAGCTTGCATTAGTGGCGATCTACATGAGGGGCAAGCCTATGGTACTTGAAGCTGTACTTGTGACATTCTTATAAGACAGATGAGTGAACCTTTCATAAATATTTGGATTGAGTGCTAAAATTCTTAAGTGATCCAGGCAAACGGAGAGTAGAGGAGGAAGAGTTTAAAATTCACAATGACCTACATGATAGAGAAAGAGTCCATGATGAGTAAAGTCAACTTTTGATGCTCAAATGTCACTTTAGAACTATATGTGCATAAATATTTTACTTGTCGCCTTGTTGATAATACAAAAGTAGAGTGGATAATTGTGGGTCCCAACTGATGTGTGGATGGCTCACATTTGACTTGTTGAAATGACCTTTCACTTTTGGAGGTGGGAACTAAATTGTTTGCTTGAGGACAAGCAAAGACTTAAGTTTGGGGGAGTTGATAAGTGGGGATTTTGACTACTTATTAGCGCCTTTTAACTTTTGTTTTAGTCTAAAAGCATTGAATTGTGTGCCTGAAACTAATGAAATTGTGCAAAATTGCAGGAATGCTGGAAGTTGGGCTCCCGAGATAAAATCTGACTCAAAAAAGAGCAATCTAAGCACAAGGCAATAATGGGCACAAAATGTGCGGTCCGCAGAAGGAATTCTGTAGCCGCAGAAGAAATTATGGACCGCAGAATTCCATCTACGGCCGCAAGCAAAGAAGGAAATATCTGCAGAAAATTACGCAAATGGCGGACCGCACATTAAGATCCGAGAGTATGCAAATTACCAAGTCCAGAACCTCAGTGAATTGCGGACCGCACAACAATTGTGCGGCTGCAGAAGATTGCCTTGCGGCCGCAACCCTAACATTGCGAACCGCAAAAAATTTGCTTCCCGGCCGCAATTTAGAATTGTGCAGTCGTAGAACTCCATCTCCTATCAGATGCAGAAATCTGCGGACCGCACATGGAATTGTGCGGCCGCCGAACCTCCCGAGTGGTATTTTTGTCAGAGATTTTCAGCCTTGTATAAATAGACTAGTTGCACAAAATTAGGTCAAGTTTGAACCTCTGCAATTACTGTAGCCATTTTACTTTTCCATTTTTGGAAGTTTACTTTGCTTTGGTGTATTTTACAATAGATTTAATCATTTTAAGTTGTCATTATGAGTTTAATTAGTCTTTCTTTTCTATTTTCTTCAAATCCAAGTATGAGTTGCTAGAGTTTTACTAGGGTTGTGACCCAACCCTAGTGTGTAAACCTTATGGGTATCTAAATTAGTGCTTGTTTATGATTGGATGTTTATTATTTAGCTTTGTTCATGCCTTAATTTGTAGAATTAATGGTTGCAAACATTAGTTTATGCCTATTTAACTTAGTCTCTACTTGAGAAAGAGAGACCTAGTCTAGGATAAGTTGGCTAACATGGAATTGGGTCAATCGAGAGATTGATTTACCTAATTAAAGGGTTCAACCTAGAGATAGTAATAACCCGACTTGAGCTTTTATCAATTGTTTTGTGTGATACCCATTTGGTCTTGAGAAAGATAAATTGGGCAAAACCACTCTCTGACCGAGAGGTATTGAGTGGGTAATTTAGAGTTGAGAGCTATAATACACCTCAATCAACAGAACGAGCATTAAAGTTTGTATCCCATTAGGCAAACACCTAGGTAATGGTCACAGCCCTAAGCTTTTTATCAATTTGGAAAAATATCAAAAACAATCATCTTTAGTTTTCTTTCTTTATTTTGAAATCAATAGAGTAAAATTAGCAATAGAAAGCCAATCTTTTTATGGAAGTGCAATCTAGATAATTCAATCACGCGCATTGAAATATATACCCCTAACTCCCACCTTAGCTCCCTGTGGATTCGACCCCAACTTTTAGTTGGGTTTCTGTTATTGCAAACAACCGTTTTATACCTCTTTTGAGGTGTGCAATTGGATGCGATCAAGGGGTGATAGTACAACACAAGAAATCACTACATTACAAGAAAAGAGGAGAGAAGAAGACACATACCTATGATTTTTGAGATGAAAGCGCAAAAACAATGGAGAATTTGAGAGAGAGAGAGAGAGATAGCAGGCAGAGGGGGAGAGAGTACAGGTGAGAGAAAGAAGGGTTAGAGTGATTAGTTTAATTTGAGGGGAGATGGGTTTGGTTATTGGGTTTGGGTTGTTTTGTGAGTGTATGTGGGTAGTTGGGTCGGGTTATATGGGCTACTAATTTAACTTAAAAAATTAAAACGAAAAGAAAAGAAGAAAAAAAATTAAAAACACCTTAACTGACCCCCAGCCCAGTGCTCCACGCTAGGCCTGGCGCTGGGGGTTTTGAGAATTCTGTAATCTCCACCCCAGGCAGCGTGGGGTGCTCGCCTGGGCACTAGTTCGTCGAAATTTATTTATTCTTTTTTATAAACAACCCTCCAACCCGAGCACTTAATACATCCATTATAAGCATCCCACACGATTCCTACCTATGATTTCTATGACTACAAAGAAAACAAAAAATCTAGTCTACTCTGACTAAAAATATAAAAAACTAAGCTATGAAAGCATTAAAAATTGGGTTGCCTCCCAACAAGCGCCTGATTTAACGTCGCGGCATGACGCAACACATTCCCTCATGCATCCACCAAGTCTATCGAAGTTTTGTGATGACGAATGCCACCACCCCAATAGTGTTTCACTCTTTTCCCATTGACTAAAAATGTATCATTACTCTCAAGGTCCTTTAGCTTAATGGCTCCATGCTTTGTAACCCGTCCTACTTCAAATGGATCCGACCATCTCGACTTGAGCTTCCCACGAAAGAGCTTCAACCTTGAATTGAACAAGAGAACGGCTTGACCGGATTCGAACTCACGATGCAAAATGTGTTTGTCATGCCATCTCTTTGTTTTTTCTTTATACAACATTGCATTCTCATATGCGTGCAGTCAAAAATCTTCGAGCTCACTCAGTTGCAACATCCATTTTTCCCCAGCTAGATCCATATCAAGGTTGAGCTTCTTGATTACCCAATATGCCTTGTGCTCAAGCTCAACATGCAAGTGACAAGCCCTTCCATATACTAACATGTATGGCGAAGCGTCAATTGGAGTTTTGTATACCGTGCGATATACCCATAGAGCGGCATCTAGCTTACTAGCCCAACCTTTCCTACTTGCGCTCAATGTCTTCTCCAAAATTTGCTTCACCTCCTTATTTGAGACCTTGACTTAACCACTGGTTTGCGGATGATAAGCAGTTGCGACCTTGTGTCTCACCCCATACTTAGCTAACAGGTTGCCTAATAGTTTGTTACAAAAGTGAGTACCTTCATCACTGATCAAAGCACCCGGAGTGCCAAATCTGATCTTCACAAAGCTCATCACCACTTTAGCATCATTTGTATGCAAAGCCACAGCCTCAGCCCATTTTGACACATAGTCAACTGCAACCAAGATGTATCGATGGCCGTTTGATGCTGGAAACGGCCCCATGAAGTCTATTCCTCAAACATCGAAGATTTTAACCTCAAGTATGCCTTTCAATGGAATCTTATGCCTTTTCGAAATTGTACCCGTCCTCTGGTACCTATCACACATTTTCACAAATGCATGTGCATCCTTGAATAGCTTAGGCCAATAGAATCTCGACTGCAATACCTTTGCAGCCGTTTTGTCTCCAACATGGTGCCCCCCATGTGGTGATGCATGGAAATCATGTAAAATTTCTTCCATCTCCTCCTCAAGAACACATCGGCGCACCAGCTGATCTGTACACTGCTTAAACAAAAACAGCTCATCCCATAGATAAAGCCTCACATCATGCATGAATTACCTCTTACCATCCGGAGATAACTCTAACAGAGTCACCCCACTTACAATAAGGTTCACATAGTCAGCATACCATGGGGTCGTGCCAGCTGTGATAGCTAGCAATTGCTCATCAGGAAAGTTTTCCTGAATTTTGCACCCTTCCTCAACATGTGTGTGAGTTTCCACACGCGACAAATAGTCTTCCACCTGATTTTCTATCCCTTTTCGATTTTTGATTTCCACATCAAATTCCTACAAGATAAGAACCCAACGAATTAGTCTAGGCTTAGCATACTTTTTCTCAAACAAATACCTGATGGTTGCATGGTCTGAGTAGACGATGACTTTAGTTCCCACCAAGTCGGCCCTAAATTTGTCAAACGCCCATAATATCGCTAGCAATTCTTTTTTGTGACAGTGTAGTTTATTTGAGCTATATTTAGAGTTTTGCTAGTGTATTAAATTGAGTGGAACACTTTATTTTTCCTCTAGCCCAATACGGCCCCAATTGTCGTGTCACTGGCATCACACATCAATGAAAAAGACACTCCCCAGTTTGGGACGGTGATAATTGGTGCAGTCACCAATCTCTTTTTCAACTCATCATACACCTTCAAGAAGTATTCATCAAACATGAAAGGCGTATCAATCTACGATAGAAACCTGCATGTCCCAAAAAGCTTCTAACTCCTTTGACAAAGATTGGGGTGGAATTTTTTCAATTGCATCCACTATTTCCTTATCCACCTCCAACCAGGGAAGATTTCCATCATGCACCTTTGAAAATTCGCAAGTGCATTGCACAACCCAAATTGCATTCGCTTAAAAGCATAAGTGCCATAAGGACAAGTGAAGGTAGTCTTTTCTTGGCCCTCTGGTGCAATTGAGATCTGGTTATAGTCGGAATATCCATCAAGGAAACAATAGTAGTCTTGTCCGGCCAACCTATCTAGCATTTGATTAATAAAGGGAAGGGGAATGGTCTTTTCTAGTAACATTATTCAGTTTCCGGTAACCAATGCAAATTCTTCAACCGGTGACAGTACTAGTTGGAATTAAGTCATTATTATCATTTATAACCACCATCATTCCACTCTTTTAGGTACACACTGGACTGGACCTACCCACTTGCTATCAGAGATGGGGAAGATAATTCATGCATCGAGCCACTTTATGACTTCTTTTCTTACCACTTCCTTCATGACTGGGTTCAAGCGGCGTTGGTGTTCTACACTCGATTTGTGCCCATCTTCCATGAGAATTTTATGCATACAAAATGCTGGGCTGATACCACGAGTGTCATCCATAGTCCATCCAATCACCCGCCTATGCTCTCTAAGCATGCGAAGTAGCTTTTCTTCCTGCAAAACAGATAAGTCAGAAGATATAACAACAGGTAGAATTTCATCAACACCTAAATAGGCGCAATGAATATGGGAGGGTAGGGGCTTGAGTTCCAATTTAGGATCTTCTTTGATAGACGGCTTGGGGTGGCCCAGTTGGTCTATCTAGAGACTCGAAATCGATCAATCCTTTGATGTAAGCACATGCATCCAGATGATGCACCATCCTCTTCACCTCGTCATCCAAGTCAATGCTATCAAACAACATAAGTGCTTTCTCTAGAGAGTCATCCAGATATGTACCCACATCATTTTCTTCTTCTTCTTTTTCAATCAGATATATCATAGCTAGATCCTTATAGTGACTTGGCAATTGAATTGCCCTGTATACATTAAAGATTTCTTCCACATTATAAACCCGGAGGATCATCTTTCCTTCACGAACTTTGATCACAGCATCAGCGGTGGCTAAGAGAGGTCATCCCAAGATGATGGAGACTTGTTCATCAGCTTCATAGTCCAGTAAAATGAAATCTGCTGGCAGAATAAGTTGCCCAATTTGTAGTAGCACATCTTCTATCACCCCCTCGGGATGGACAATAGACTTATCAGTAAGCTACAACATGACTGTGGTTGGACTTGGAGCTCCCAACCCCAATTGACCGAAAACTGAGAGAAGCATCAAATTTATGCTAGCCCCCAAATCACAGAGTGCTCGCCCCACATCTACCTCACCAATTCGAACAAGTATGGTTAAGATCCCCAAATCTTTCAACTTTTGCGGCAATTTTCTTTGAATTCTCAAGGTACACTCTTCAGTAAGTTCCACTATCTCAAACTCTGTCAACCTTCTTTTGTTAGCCACAATATCTTTTATGTATTTAGTATATTTTGGAATTTCACATAGCACATCAACCAATGGAAGATTCAATTGAATTTGGCTCAGTATATCAAGAAATTTGTTGAATATCATGTCATCACTTTTCTTCTTCAATCTAGAAAAGGATGTGGTGGCCTTGAAATCGGAGTCTTTTCGCTTTCTTCAGTTTCTTTCTCAGCTTCTCCCACAGTTTTGGGGATCAGTTCATACTTAGGAGTGACTTGTTTTTTCTTTCTTTTTGGGAATTCTTCTAATTCTCTGCCATTTCTCAAATTTACAGCATTTACTTAAGGATTCTTATTTGTATAGCTGGAAAGGGCCCCTGCAGGTGGAGTATTTTGTTGTGCAGTCAACTGCCCAATTTGCTTCTCTATGTTTCGAAATTCAGTCCTCAATTGCTGATTATTTGTTCTAAGTTGTAGGTTGTCAATCCACAACTTTTTCAACAAGTCATTAGTGCTTTCTTCTACATGTTGAGGTGGCTTTTGAGGCTGATTATAGTTCCCTTGAGGCCTATATTGATTCTAAGTGGTCTGGTTCCCACCCCATAAGAAATTCAGGTGATTCCTCCAGTTAGGATTATAGGTGTTCCCATATTGACTATTCTAGTTCATCGGACCTCTACTTTGCTGGCCCACATAATAAACAGATTCAGGATTCGCTGGATATTGATCACTCATATGGCCATCTCCACAAATTTCATAACATATAGCCATCCTCTGAACCTGCTGCATTTGATGCCCTTGACCCATTGCCATCTTAGCCATTTGGTTGTTTAGTTTAGCAATCTATGATCGCACGGCAGACATCTCATCCAGCTCGAGTTTACCTACTGCTTTCTGTTCTATCATCCTTCTTGAGTCACTCTCACCTTGCCAGTTATGATCAATTGCAGTGAAATTGTTCAGCAGAGTCTGAATCTCATTGTATGACTTTCGCATGCAACTTCCTCCACAAAATGAGTCTAGATTCAATTTGGAGGTCTCGTCCAACCCCTCCACAAAAGTATGTCCCAACACCTCATCAGTCTGACAATGATGTGGGTAATCTCTGAGTAGTTTCCTGTATCTTTCCCAAGCTTGACGAAGAGTCTCACCCTCTCGTTGTTGAAACCCAAGAATCTCGCTCCTCAGCGATGATGTTTTCTTTCTGGGAAAAACCTTGATTGAGAATTTGCATGCTAGATCACCCCAAGTGTGGATTCAGTTTGCGGGCTTTTTGTTCAACCATTCCTTAGCTTCCACCAGCATTGAAAAGGGAAACAAAGTCAATCTGACAAAGTCCTTGGAGACGTTCAGATAGTTGTATGTATCCGTAATCTCCAAAAAGTTCTGAATGTGCCACTGTGGATCTTCATGAGATAGACCCACATACTTCCATGTGGATTGAATCAGATGCACCATGTACTGTTTGAGCTCAAAGTGTTTCGTGATGTCAGGCTTCACGATATCCTGAGTCATATTAGCAAGACTAGGCCTTGCGGCCACAATCACTGGTCTTTCTTCATTTCCTACCATCTCGATTGGCTCTGGTTGGACTACAATACCCAACTCTGCAATTATTACTCTTTCTTCCGCCTCTCTCCTTATCCTGTGGAAAAGTCTTTCAGGCTCAGTATTATGAGGAGGAAGGTTGTTCAAATGTTGCTTTTTCTTAGCATTCGAGGTAAACACCTATAGAGTCAGAAAAGGTCAAACAGATTAATACTTGAACAAAAACAAATAAGAGCTTATTTCAAACAAATAACTAATTTCTAAATCCCCGGAAACGACGCAAAAAAACTTGTTACCTCCAAACACACACGCAAGTATACACTGTCTAAAAGTAATAAAGTGATAAGAAAGTATCTGTTACACCCTATATTTTCGTACGTAAAAATGCGTCGTAAGCAAATTAATGTAGGACCAAAAATGAGATAATATTTAAAAGTATATAAAGTAAGTTAATCATGTTACCTCTGAGGTTACAAATATTGAAGATCATGAACAACAAGTACAAAGAGGGTTGGACAGTTCAGAAGCTAAAGCAATTAAATAAAACAATGTTTCGTCGAAAGTCGACAAGTTGGGAATGTTATAACATGTACCTTTGGGGTGAGACTAGGGTGATTAACATGATAAGGAGATTATGTTATGATTTATATTAGTCGTATGACATCCATGTGTTATGTTTTAATGTTAAGCGAGTTGTGGAACAAAAGTCGATGAAAGTCAACACAAGTTACACTCATAAGTTTTACTGAAATTTTGGGTCAAATGTTACTGCGATTTTCTCCCACTATACTTAGAGTTATGGGGTGTTCCACCCATCAAATTAAAGATCTATGAGTCTATTTTCCAAATCATTAAACCGTTTGTCAATACGATATTGGAGTAGAGAGAGATATGGGCATTTTTGCGATACTGCGCAAGCTGCTAGGTGACAAGTAGGTGTGTCACCTACTTGCTTAAATGAAAGCC